TCCACGTATCATGTTGTCATTGACAAACATAGGTCTAAATGTTACGACGCACTGAGGATGTCAGTCTTCGTACCTGATGTCTACTACCGGTTGGTGGAGTGTGAAACCTCAGAAGTTCTCTACGGTTTTCTTTCAAGTCGTCACTGAGAATATTAAGACATATTTGTTCCATAAACAGGCGTAGACTATGCTTGAGTTTTATTCATAGCAATTCTAACCATTCCAATACATAAGTTCCTATATTTTACTTGCAACCAAAACATTAACGGATAGAACTGTACTACTTGAAAGTAAGCTACAGGATGAATAATTATTATGTAGATACACCAAATGCACCCTAATTATGAGGAAAACATTATTATACTTATTGTACTATGATTTGCTTGGTAGTGGGTATCAGTGGAATCCAGGAGGCACGTTTCGTCCTATTTCGGACACATCGGCTGGATGTACCTGCATCTCACTGAGTGATGTTGTTCCCACTGAGACTCAAACTCAGCATCCATCTTTTCAAATGTCAAAGCGTTGTCCACTAGGTCATTGGGGTACGGCAGCCACCTCTTGAACAACGAGTATCAGCTACCATTATTCACTAGTACTTCTAATTTTTTGTGGTTACCATTCCCAATAATTTAATAATATGCTCACTATAGTTAGAAGATAAAAAAATCTCTTGGTTAGTTCTTGAGAAGAATCCCCTAGTTTACTATACAGTCATTGGACCATCTATGAGAAATGACCTGAAAGCTTTAGTTTTCGGAGTAGGCATGCATTTCATGAATCAAAAACATACAATCACCCCTTTAACGGTTGTGTTTGTTCAACCAATAACAGATGGAGGTCACAACATACTAACAAGGTAAGCAGTCAACTGTCTCTACTCTAGGGATTAGCAAACTTGCAGTTCACCATTAAAACAGACCCACTGGTTATGTAACACAATGATCACAATGTTCGTCTAGCCTAATATATATATATATATATATATATATATATATATATATATATATATATATTAAAGCCAGCAGAATTTACATAATTTACCCTAGGACATTCTTAATCACTGCACCATATCGCAAAAAGGTGTAGCTACTAGAAAGTGAAGGGCAAAGTGGAGAGAAGAAGCAAAGACAGAAAAGGTAGAAAGTCTTGATATTTACTTTGTTTTAACCTAATTCTTTGAAAACTAGCATTATCTAGATCACACTACTTGTGGCTGAAAAAAGGAACTACTACAATATAAGCAATAAAATTACCAAAAGACAGTGAAATATGCTGTACTTCTATTTGTCTACATATACCTTGTCCACATTAATCATTAGATAAAGTAGTAATAATTAATGAACGCAGAAATGTCAACATCAAGGGAAGTGGACGCCTCGAAAGGAAACGCGTATTGGTTTCTAAATCCATTTTTGAATGTTATATGGTTGCATAACTATATTTGTGTGTCATTGTTGGTGTGTGCACTCATCAATCCTTGCTTATACGCAATCCGATTTATATCTTACACCATAATCCGGGAAATACGTCTTTATGTATGGTAACAGTGAGATTTCCTCAAATCTTATGACATCTACTGGTAATCTTGGTTGTGTTGTATTCTCTGAGATGGATGGTTTTATCGCGGGATATTTATGAAGAAAAGATATGTTTTTCTTGTAGAAGCTTGCTTCTTACTGAAGTTCTCATACCTCTTATTAACGAGAAGTTCAGTTCACATATATGCTTTGAAATGATGAAGAATATCTGTAGCTCATTTGGATTATTTTGGTCGTGTTGTATTCCTTGAGTTGATGGCTTAATCGTGAGTTCTGACTGAGTTACTCAGGGTTACTTCAAATACAGTTTTTTAGTGAAAGTAGCCTAGAGACTGAAATAACAACCACCAAACTCCACTATCAGCAAATATTCATCATTCTTATAGAATGAGAAGTATATCCACAATTTCCGCCTTGGATCAAGGGAGTAACAAGCACCGTATCCAAAGAGATAGAAGTATAAGGACATTTGTTACGAACAGTGACAGAAAAATTATGTTCATCGACAAACGAAAATCTCACGACCACTGGTCAGACATGGATACTGGCATAAGTCATGTGAACTGTGATATCTGGTATCCTACAGGGTGCTTTAACAGAGCGATTCTGGGAACCACGTCACGCTTGGAGATATGCTATGGTGTTGGAAACTACTTTTTCAAGTGGGCAAGAAACACTTCAAAATTGTAAGCAGAAGCAACCCAGTCTTCAAGATTTTCAGAGGAAGAAACAGAAAAGCTTATCACTAAAGGTTATCATCTACCCCATATATATAATTTTCTGTGAAAGGTAACAGGAAGTGTGCAGCCTAATACATCAAGACGAAACGTTAGATGCTGAGACATAATCAACAGGAAGCTTTGTTTGACCTAGGTTTCGTGCTTCTTGGAACTCATCAGCAAAGCATGTCTGCAACTTTGAGGGAACTGATTTCCTCCCAGAAACTGAAACCTATGTCAGTAAGTGAGCAAACCACTGAACTGTTCGAGGATATCAATCACCTCGAAGTTGTAGACAGTACCTGCTGATCAGTGCCATTAGGCACATAACTTAAATCCAGAGTTCCCTCTCAGTTGTCGCCAATGAAATAACACAAAGGAAAATCTACAACGTTATTGTGCCTAGCTTAGTTCAAAGTGTGTAATCCATTTTTCTTGTCTTGGCAAATTTTCTTGTGAGAAATTAATGTCAAAACTTCTAAAATCCGCTTCTAAGATATTGTGTTAAAATCTTAGTTCACCGTCACTTCAGTCAATGACACTGATGGATAAAAGAGGGTCCACACTAGCCTATATTGTAAAAAAAAACTTCATTTTGGATTGAGAAATCGTGGAAGAACACAGTCAGAAGGACATCTTTCATTTGGAAAAGCACTACTTCCCAGGTGCACCTTCAGCGTTCATTTCAAGTTCAGCGTAAAATTCTACAAACAAGAGAGTAATACAACAATGTAGTTTCATGCCATATCTTTCAAAGGGTGCTGTCATACGATCTATCAGCAGTAGCTTAGGTGTAGTACAAGAATTCTATCGTAATCATTTTGCAGCATTCAGAAGTTATTTACATGCGATGGGATTATCGGGATTTTGTAAGCTTGACTATAGCAGTCAAAAGCATTAGGCCTTCTTGTAAATACACTTTTTAATTTCTGATCTATTTCACTGAATTTTCCCTTACTTCTCATTCTTGTACTAATTTCCTTTCATTTTCATCCTTTGATATTTCATACTCTTAAGTTAGCTAAATGACCTCACACTTATTATGCAATAAGTCATTACATCTCAATTTCACATACGCCTTCCTTAATCTTCTAGACTATTGAACTTACTGCGTAACAGTTCTTTAGTAAGCTCTTCGATAAAAGCATTTTATAGACTACGTGGACGACCGAATAGCTTTAGAAGGAGGGATAGTCAAGGAAAACGTTTCCTATGTTGTAACATTGCTGTCCTAAAACTATTGACTGATGTATTTCAAATACTGATATGGATGATAAGGATACCATGAGGAACTGAAATAAAAAGCATCCTCAGACAGTCTTGTCTCTATAAAAACAATAAAAACTTAGAGACTGTCCAGAAATTCATGATCTGTCGGCAAGAAATGAAGAAACCAGGAGGTTGGTTATAACTCTCTATTAGTCATCAAACAGAACCTGAAAAATAGACGTATATACACCATTAGATGAGACAGAAAGGGAACTTACGATTTAATAGATAAAAAAGGTCTTTCAGTCGGAAAGTGACTATTCGCTTTTGGGATACAGCATCTGCGTTTCGTGTCGTGACTTCAAAAACTTAAGGAAAATGCTTTGAAATATAATGAAGAAAAGATACCGTTATTCTTTCAGATTGTTAGTATGACAGACGTATAAACAAAACATAGATATTTTAGCCGATTCTTTGGTCACATGGTAAGGTTCATGCCCTGAAATTAGAGGAATTAAACAGATAAAAATGCCTAGATTTTGAAGATGATATAGAGTGTATGTAAGTGTGATCATTTTTTGTTTATGCAGAATCATTGATTCCTAAGTTGTAAGACATCCCTACACCTCCTTCTAGGAGTCAAATCAGTAGCTGGTGATTTAATGCGTCAACATCAAACCATTGTCAGGCTATCCTTACTTTTTACAAGTCAATACTTCTGGTTATAGCACCTGTCGAAGTAAGCACTGCGTAAGGAGGCACAACAAACGTCCAAGCCACTTAAGTTCGTTTGGGCTGTCGATCTCACAAACTGACATATATTTACCGCCTGGTACCGCATATCTGATTTTATTATTGCTCACTCTTTGTCCTATCAAATGCAAAGAATACTATGGAGCCATCTTTAGTTTAAAATTCGTAACCACTTTTTGTGTTCCACTCTCAATTTTCATGATGTTGTGCTATCTGAGCCGGATGACGAAAATATCTGACCCCAGAGAACACAACACCATCAGAAATCTCCTCTTGAGCTTCAAGTCCTACTCTTAATAATTTTATGACCAAACTACGTAGTGGTGAGTTCGGCTGTACTGTAGATCTATCCTTTGATAGGTACTCAGATATCTCATAATCTTCAGATTAGTGTTAAGTTATAGTGTTCGTCTAATAGGTGAGCTGATGTAATAATTTACAGTGTTATCAGCATAAGGGAAAAATATCCACATGAGTTTGTAGGGTACCGTTTCTCATAGGCTGACTCTTTTTTGAAATCTGGAGTGTTGTCGGTTTATACCAAAGACGAAACAACTTTCAAGGCTGAATAGCAATTAAATGAGCACCAATCATAAACAGAAACACTGATCACCTCAATTTAAGATAGATCTTTAGGTAATCAGTTCCATTCATCATAAAGGAGACTGAACGAAACCAATCCAAGCACTACTGTCCTTCTATTTTGATGCATGCATACAATTACACATCTTGTGAAAATATTTATAGCTTTATTTCCGCTTTCTTCGCAACTTTACAGATAATCATTGGCTTGTTTACTGAGGATGAAAAGTCGTGAAGAAAACTGTTTTCAAATCTTGGGGATCATACTCTATCGTCTAGTTATCTTGTCAACATTAACTGTGGGTGGACAACACGGTTATAGTTACTTTCACCCTGACGATACATCTATTCAACCAAAGAAAGTGTTAAAGTTGTACAAATATTTCACATGTATCACACAGGTTATTCCCAACTCCAACCGTTTGTTTTATTTTAACCGGCTTTTTCTTTCAAAAACTATAGACTTTATGTTACATGTATTATATAACATCGATACTATTGTTACTGTTGAAGTGTAAACGTTTACACGGTTACTTTTACTTGACTGCATTCGCCTACGATACGGTAAGAGGTGTATACTCATCAAAATTTCAATTGATATTTTGCACAGACCATGATGACTGTTTATTGGTCAGCTTATTTCTATGATCAAAGGATTATCACAAGTATAGAAGAACTGAAAAATATGCCATTATGGTATAATCATATATGTGTAAGTTGTTTTAGTTCACTATTAACTGCTGGTTTTAATGAGCAAGTTGTCTTTCACTCAACTTTCACCAGTCAGCTGTCTGGTTGAAGTTACTTTATGCAGTTTATTGATTCATGTGTTAGATAAGTCATGTTGTGTCTTAGAATGTTCATGGTAACCTTAAACAGAATGATCAGTTTGCAAATGATTTGCGGACTGCATAGTCCACCTTGACATTTGTCGCAAGTGATCAGTTTTTAAAATGGCCAACTGTGGTGTCAATAAGGTACACTGCTGATGAGCTCACTTTTCCCCCAAACTAACAAAACGCCCGTCTGGTCTTTAAACCCCTCTGATCTGACTGACTGATCTACAGCTCAGCCTGAGTGCTCCCGAATCACTAAAGTTGTCCATAGGAATAATTCAACAGCTCACGACACCTTTATTACATAGGTCACACTTTGAGATCCTGCCTGATACCACAGCTGAGGAGAAATGTCAACGTAAACTGTGAAGTTTTTAAGTCGTGTGCAAATCGATCATCCCATTTTGAGTATGCCGGTCAACGCAAGTCAGTTAGCTAGACATATTCAGGTGCGCTACTTATGATCTCTGCCCACAATGAGCGGAACGGCTGTCTAGTGTTTAGATTACTGCCATCTGAATGTCTGACTGGGTTGCTGGTTAAATTTTCTGATCCACTTGAGTGGATTCGAACTAGTCAGGGTGTTCACTGGTATATTTCCTAACTGTTACTTGCTTCTCTTTCATATTCTCATGCCTAGAAGGCCACATAAAGCCAGTGGAATCCTCTACTAATATACCACTAAAACTGTCCTTGTATGTGCACTCTTAATCATCACAAAGAGATAAGATAACCTATCACACCGTTTTAAACACTGAGTCCTCTGTACCCATTGACAAAACCTTACTCCATCTGATGAAAATTTCGTTGTCTAAGACTTCCTGACCTTCCTAATGAATTCCACAGCAAGATGTAGCTATGGGAAATAAACAACTCTGGAGGTTCAAAATGATCTTATGGAAATGTTCCACTTCACCTTTAATAATACAATACATTTTCTAGAATACTAGAGAATTAAGTGGCAAGCTTGTGTTGCGAAAACTTTCTGTCAGTAAATTGTGTAACACCAAATCTTCTTACTAACAAAACCAGATGGTAAGCATAAGTGACCTTAACAATGGTTCAACCGGATACACCATCTTTCCACCAAATATACATTAGTGCATAGAATGAGGTCACAAATCAGACTCGTGGAAAGATGCAGCCGTATCCCTTCGGCAAAGATGTGCAATCTATCTTAGAGCTATCTATCGTGCTTATAACGTTGAACATTCTGCTGAATCTTGGATTTCGGAACATTAGCTGCGGGAAATCCCAGAGAAATATTTTATTTTATTTCCTCTAAGAAGTACACAAGTTTGAAGTGCAAGGAAAGAGTAAAGTTCACGACCTAGTCAATAATAGGTAAAGAATGTAGATGTCCAGTCCTGAGTGCATGACGCTAGTCAAAATCTATCATTAACACTTCGCAGTGTACCATTAGACGAAATAAACTGACCTTACAGTGTACCCTGTTGTTTTGTTAAATCGTGTCATTCAGACAACAGGAAACCTTGCTTGACCAGGGTTTCGTGTTTGATGGGACTCATCAACAAGGTTAATCTGAAATCGTGAGAAAACTAATGTCTCCTCCGTGATCTGAACCTAACCAAGACACATTGATTACTTGCTAACCACCGACTTGGATGCCCAATTCAGTCTTACTTAGAGTAAGTTTGGTCTGACATGCTCAGTGGTTTAGTCTCTCACTTCTTGCTGATGAATGCCAACAGTGGCTAATCCTTGGACAGATAGGGCTTCTTGTTAATTGATTCCCAAAACTGAACACCAAGAGGATAGAACTTTCTAAAACTCAACATTCACCTTGTCAACTAGCCTAAAATTTGAAACACTCTCTTTGTTCCAGTCCGTTTCAAACGTTTAATCATCGAAAATAAAATTGCCTTTCACTGTACTGTTTGCAATCCTAACGACATAACTTTGTTGAATAACCGTAGCACACAATTGGACTGCCAGCGTTGTTATTGGACGCCTATTTATACAATCCGCAATCAGTTTCAATTAAGAAATCAATGATGATTGTGTTTTCCTTAGGCGCAGCCTACAATTTTTAGTAAGTTAAATGAAACTTTTAATTTACAGTTTACGTTTATGAAGCAAAAATGGGTGCATTTTTTAAAGTCTTAATAAGAATTCGCGATCTGTGGAGTCAATTAAGGTAAGACTGAGGCGAATACCCATGGATTACATTATACTATAGTCGCAGCAAGACACGAAGCGACAGACATAGAAGTTAGTGGATTATTGGGTTCCAACCCACTGGCTGAATAGTAACGCGTTTGATTTGTGAAAAAACAGTCCCGATCTGAATCCCTCGCAAGATTCTGCTCATGCACCGCTGATAAGTGCCAAACAGGTAATAAACTGATGTCAGATTTTCTCAACGTTTAATTGGTTGTCCAGTTGCCATCAATAGGTGCTGAAAACTACCCATAAAAATAATGTCTGTTTTTGTAGTGGCTACCATTGGAATACAGAACATAAGTTTCATCCCACAAGAAACGACGTAAAAACTCCATCCCTTTTACGAGAAGTGGCTATCTCACAATAGTGGCCTGGTGGATAGCGCCATCGCGTTTGAACTGAGTGGTTCCGGGGTTCGAGTGGGAATAACACTAACTGAGAAGCAGGTACATCCAGCTGACGAGTCCTAAACAAGACGAAATGCTCGTCCTGCATTCCAATGCTAGCAACTATTCATCATTAATATCTCAATTACACTAGAGTTCTCAGAATATTGGAACATAGTGATTTGTTTTAATTTCAGTAGTAAAAATTAGGTATTTATGTAAAGTACAGACCTGAAATGATAGAACTTATTTATCCCTTAGTTGAATGGACTTGGTTGTGTTGCTATCTTACATGTTTGGTTCATTCTTGAAGCTTCAAGTGTCTTTCCAGATAAACTAATCAGTGGTGCGTGATTGATTGTTTCCTTTGACTGCGTTGTGTCAACGGCTGGATAGCTTTTCCAGTTGACAGTTTCTCTGCTTGACCCTTGATCTTGTAGTTGTTGATCCCTTTTCTCAGTCGTTAATAAATTGGGTCTATATCTATGCACCTATGGATTACTGACTGATCTGATTGCCACACTTCTAGGACTTATCTGATATTCTATATGTTTTCTCTTTCCAAGATCTCCACATTTTCAAGGTTGAATTTGTGTTCATAGTTATCCAAGTGCATTGATATAGGCGACGAAATGTCACTTTTAATAGTCGACTTAAATTCACGTAAATGAAGTCGAAGAATGGCACCACTTTGTCGAAAGCAGTGCTGGTGGCAGTTGTTGCAGTCGATTTTGTAGATAATATTTGATTTGTCAATGATGGAATTCTTAGTGATCATCAAAGACATTGACATAGAAAATAACAAAAATAATGGTATGTTGCAGCACTATACACATCAACCGGACCACAGCCGACTGTCCCCATCACTGAAGTCGCAAGTCTTTACGAATGTTCAAGGCATCAGCCTCCTAGTTTGGTGGCACTTATTGGTTTTTGACTGACAAACTACTTCTATTTTAATGGCAAGTTATACAAACCGGTGGAAGGCACTCCAATAGGATCACCGTTATCTAGACTAACTGTAGAAGCAGTGACGCAGAGACTGGAAGCCATTACTTTACCCGTGATCAAGAGAAAACTTTGAATCTTCTATGTGAAGTATACTTTAACATCATTAAAAAAATGGTTTAGAAAAGACCTACAGTTTGATCAACACCGTTTTTGATGTCATCAAAGTCACAATGAAAAAGGAGTCGAACCACCAACTGCCATTCCTGAAAGATTTGGTCAATAAAACCATTATCAGACAATTGGAAACTCTAGTGTACAGGAAGTCATCTCACATCAACCATATTCTCAACTACAGCAGTAACTAGCCAACAAAACACACAATTATTTGCGAACAGATTCCTTTCAAAAGAGCCAGAATACACCTCAGTACAATAACTTCAGAGAGAAATGAAGAAAATTACTTGAGGTCAGTCCTACGAAATCACTTCAGAAGACACTTATTTAGCTCATCACCAACTAAAAAGTCACTCACGAAAGTCAACAAACGGATCATCTTACCGAACTAGAAAACATAGCAGAGACGGTGAAAAGATTACTGAGACCAATTGAAGTTGGTGTGGCTCATAAAAATCAACAAATTACTTACAAACATTACTGCGCCGAATAAAAGACGCAAGAGCCACAGGTGACAAACAAAATATCACCTACAAAATCAGCTGCGACAAATGCAATCGGCACTGCTTTCGACAAAGTGGTCCCCTCGTTCGAATTCATTTACGAGAATTTAAGTAGGCTATTAAAAGTGACGAACCAAGCCTGGTTAAATAGTTCACTAGTTTACTAGCAAGTCCTAAGTACAGGTTAAGAAAGAAGGTTAGGCATAGGGCTAGCAACCCTACCCAGCAAAACCAATACAACTGCTAATCAAACTTCAAAGCACAAAAGTAATATAAAAATAAATATAAACTTACTACTCGCTCGAATCAGAGAAACGAAATGACGTCGGTTGGTTAAAGCCTTCAGGAAGCCAATTGACCGATATCTCATCCCTCTCTCGATGAAAGCGAAAGTAAACATGGGATCATGGAATATCCACACAATGTTTGAAGTTGACAGGCAAGACTATCCAGATTGCAAAAGAAACGAGGAGATATGGGATAGAAGTGAAGTGCTAGCAATCTGTGAGCTCAGATGGAATGGAAGTGGACTCTCCAAACTGTCAACTGTAGAGGAGAGGAGTCAATAATCTACTCCGATGTTGTCACCCAGAGCACACGACAACCACGAGCACACTGAGCTTTGGAGTAGCTATCATGATGTCCCACTGTCAAGAGTATCGAAATCTGTCTCCTATGCAGTGGGTGTCAATCTCCTCATGTAGGATGTGGATCATGACAGCGAGATGGATTCAGGTCAAACTGGAAGGGAAGGAGAGTTACAATCATACAATGCCACGCCACGCACCTACAAATAATGCAGATGAAGAGGAGGAGGAGTTCTACAGACAACCGCAATCAGGAATGGACAAGACCCAACTCCAGTTGGAGACATCAAACTTCTAATGGGTGGGGTGTTATGTCGAATGTCGAACTGGCAGCAGACAACACAGGAAGAGAATCAATCATGGGTAGAGAAGCACTCAGTGAAATGATGAATGAGAATGGAGAACTGTGTGCAAACTTCGACTCATTCATCGATTTTGTGATTGTAGGTGAGACAGTGTGTACAAACACAAGGATATTCTGAAGGCAGTGACGTGTATTCGATTTCACCAGACACCAGGGCACACTATACTGAAAATCAGATCGACTTCATCTCAATGTGAAGAAAGTGGAAACGCAGTTGACTGGATACAAGATGAAGAAGGGGAACAGATGTGGATGGTTCACACCACTCAGTATCTAGTGGAAGGAATCTAACTTCAAAATCAAGTTGAATGCCTTCACAGAAGTTGGTGATGATAGACCACAGTTCAAGCTGAACACCCAGAACAGAGACTGAACTGAAGGACGAAACTACAAACGACACCTTCACATCAGTCAGTCATCAGGACGAAATGGGAGACATTAAGCAAGATGACTGAAGAACCCTGAGTGGAAGAACACTGGAACTCTCTGTGAGGTATGTGGAAAGAAACCTGCATAACCGTGTTAGGAAGGAGGAAGAAGCGGTGAAGCAGGGAATGCATCACGATGAACATATGGAAATTGATAGAGAAGAGGAAGATGGTGAAGCAGAATATGAAGCAGTGCAGTGCAGTGCAGTGTAGTGCAGTGCAGAGATGAACATCGAAAAGAGGAAGTGAACACATCCTATGAATCACTACACTGGACAAAGAAGTGAAGAAGAGTGCATGCTAAGATAAAAGACACTTCTACGACACACTGGTGAGTGAAGCAGAACTGGCTGCAGGTTGGACAGACAGAGACCTGACAACACTAAATCAAATAACCAGGTCACCATCTGGGAGGGTAGAGATCAACACAGATGAAACAAATGGAGGATGGTGAAGGAACCTAGTTGCCAGAAAGGAGAATCAAAAGAGACGATGAACTGACCACTTCGAAAAGCTCTTGAATCGACCACCACCACTACCACCACCAGCAGTCCAGCCACGAAACTATCAGTAAACACAAGTACTTGAACAATAACAGAAGTGCTGTCCTGAATGCTATGAAGTTGCTGAAGTGCGGGAAAGCAGCAGGACCAGATGGAATTCTGTCAGAAGCAATGAAGACATACGCAGAGACAACAGCGGACATGCACACAGCACTCTGAGTGGGGATTTGGTAGGACGGGAGGAAGGTACCTGGTGGTTGATTTGAAGAAGGGCTACCTTGTCAATCTCCCTAAGTAGGGTGGGTGACCCAAGTCTTTGCAAGAACTGGCGCTTGATTTTCGTCTGCCTACCACAAGCAAAATATTATGCCGCATCATCCTGGAGAGATTGAAAGATGCACTGGATTCAAAACTACGACTGGAACAGGCTTTCTTACTGGCTGGCTTCAGGAGAAACAAATCATGTGAGGATCAAATTGCAACGCTTCGCTACACATCATCATAGAACAAATCACAGAATGGCAGTCAACTCCGTACTATCACCGATGATCTACCTTAGCGTGGTCGACTGGACTGGATAATGCAAGAAGTTATGAGGAGCGATTAGAGGGGCATAAACTGAATGGACCGATGAAAAGACACTAAAAGATCAACGAGAAAAACCAACTGGTCGGCAAAAGGGCAAGAGAAGATGGGACTTCCTTCAGGTGAACGTAGAAAACATAGAAGTGATGAAGATACACAACCAACAACAACAACTAGCACCAATCATTATGAACGACAGTAACCTAGTGCAAGTAGTCCATTTCACCTACCACCTAGTCAGCATCTTTTCAAATACAGATAGAGGCAGCATAGGCCCAGACGACGATGTCAAAGACAGGATGAGAAAGACAGTAACAAAGGCCTTCATTAATCTGAAATCAGTGTGGAGATCTATCGCACTGCACTAAGCTGTACTCAGCATAAAGCG